TGTAAATATATACACATACAGCTTGCACTGCTCAGAGTGTTGTTACAGAGCACACTGGCCCAACAAATTCCATAATGAGGGCCACCACAACAACACAGTCTTAAAGACCTACCCACAAAATAGATAGAGTGCTGAAACCAAGCCCTCATCTTTGGTTCTGTCCCTCAAACACAGCTCTCAAATCCAGAGCCTGAACTGAAACCCAACTTTTCCCCACCCTGCCTGCCTGCACTCCATGTTCTTACTCAGAAGAACCCACAACTGACAGTCTAGATAAAAGCATCCAGCCCACAAGGGAATGTGCCTTCAACAGTGCAGGTATTGTGGCAACTCTGCAAAAGATTGTGCTTGGTTCTATGCTACCCAATCTGATGCTGTGTCTTTCGTCGCACGTCCTGCCTCCTGTTGGCTGCTCACTTCAGCTGAGAGCCACAGGACTGGGCTGCTGACATTCTCACCGTTTCACCCATAGCAAAGGCTTCTGCATTTGTTCAGAGCCAAGCTTCATCTTACTCTGGTGGGAAACAGTCTGAATGATACTAGATCATAGAAATTTTTAAAAAATACTGGAATGAGGAGTTAGTTATTAGACTGCCCTATAAAACAGTGTATTCTACAGTGATATGGTGCACTTTCACTTGTATTAATTACCGAAAAACACAACCAATGTTAACCAGTAACAGTAGAACATCAACTGTTGCTTCCTTTGAAATTACTTTTCCTGTAATGGTTAACTACCTTCTTTGTAGCTCACAGCAGGGGGACATTTTTTTCCTTCCTGAATGCTGAGATAAAAAGAAAGGAAACATTCCTATGTGCTTTTATCATCATGTGTGTCGAAATCAGCTTGTTTTTTTAAAAAAAGATAAGCAATATAGCCATCAGCTTTGGCAAAGCCCAAGCACAGTAGGAGCAATTTATTGGGCAGTGCAAACCAATGAATGAAATAATATTAATTTTGATACGTGTTAATTTTGGTCAGGTGTTATCATTTCTGCTGCCTGGACTGTGAGGAAGGTCTATGTGGTTAAAGTCTTAAGCTGGCTATGAGCAATGATTTATAGAGCAGATCATTAAGCAGGAGACATTTAAGAGCAAACCATAATTCATGTGCTATGTTCAGTTTTTTAGGACACACTCCTGTGACTTCCTGAGGTCATTTCGGAGGCCATAGAAGTCTGCTGAGTCCCAGCTCTGAAATCTTAACAATCTCATTGCTTGGACTCTGAAGGCCATGCTTGGTCTAACCCCAAGATTGCAAAGGGGGCTTGGAGGAGGAAAAACGAAGCATGCTAGGAGGTGGGGAAGAGAGGAAGCTGGATCTGCAGGGTTATGCTGGCTCCAATCTGTGCCTCAACTTTCTTCCATTTCTCCCTCCCCAGCTCTAAATCGGGATGGTCGAGAACAGCTGTCTAGAGAAAATGCAGAGTGCAACTCACATTAGCAGCACAACCACTGTGACTTGCGCTGCGTGCTTATAAACCTCCAAGTGGGGGCAACACGATCGTGCCCGTAACGCATGAATGGTTGATGTATGAAATGCAGGTGGCTCATTTTTAGTGGTGTATTGTTGTATCATTAGGTATCTAAAGTTAATTATTATAATGTGTGGGCTGCTGAAGTACAGAAAGGGATAATCATGACAGAAATGACTAAAGAAGCTCAGAAATATACCAGGATTTTTCTTGTTAGGAATCTGAAGCCATTCACTGAAGAACTATGTACTGTAACTGGATCTGACTTTTCCTGAGGTAAAATTTAACTATTGACTCTCATTAGGGTTACTACTAAGATAACATTCCTTACACTGTCTCACACTCCTCTGGAGCCTTCCTGTCTGTGTCCCAACTACCACATTGCCATACCAGTGGGAAATTCCAGAAACTATCATGATTTTCACTATCCTTTTAGCCTTTGTTTCTGTTTTATTGGTGATCCAGTGTCATGCAGCCAGCCCATGATGCAGGGTGGGGCGTGGGGGGAGGGGAGAAAGCTGTATCGGTCCATCAGGAAAACAAAAACTCAAACTCCACTTTAGTTTATCCGTTTACTAAGATCAACCAATTTGTTTGAAAATACCGAGCAAGCTTCAGATATTCCAGAACTGTTCACGGAGCAGGTTGTTAAGCAAAGCAGAGTGAGGGAAGGAAACATCCCATACCAGCTTGCTGTTAAAGCCATAAAGCTGGCATTAGTCTTAGGCTTAAGCTGGAGTGTAGGCAGAGGCCACAGTCTTCAGTTGGATTAGGGCACAACTCTACTCTGGATGCAGTGATGAGAGAACGCATGTTGAGGATACTTTTTATTGGCTGGATTTATTGCGACTCATTTATAGGCGTGTGCAAGGGCTTAATAAAGGAGAAGTTTGCTCAATGCACAGGTTAGAGCAACACATTCCTAATGTTAGCTACATGTGCCACTGCTTATCATGGGTTAAACGATCTGTAGCGGGCCTGGCTGAGTGTCCTTTCTTCTGAAAAAGATGAAACCCTGTCAACTCTGATGGGAAAAGACTACCACTTTCTTTAGTGCATGTTGCACATCTGCTGCAGCTCCTGACAGAGTTTACACGAATCTTCAGCAGAGGTCTGTCCTCTGTCTGAAGATGTCTGCTAGTTGAGGGGCTGACCACACCCAAGTCCTGTAAGGATAAAGGGCCATAAGAAGGGAAGCAAGGGCCCTGAAGGTGCCCGCCAAGATGCTCAGCCACCATGGTGAGAGAGACTTCTTTTTAAATGATATTAATCCCCTCTAAATGTGAAACAATACATAAAAATTAGTACATGCAAAATATATGCAGATTGGGGCCCTACCATTTGGTGATAAATAACTGGGTGCCACACACTGGACTGTTGGCATTGTGAAAGACACAGCAGGAACGAGCAGTATAACGGGGTACCAATGGCATAAGATAGCTCCCTATGTTCCTGCTATATTACTTTTCCTTTAAAACTAAGAGGAACTCTTGGAAAGGGGGGGGGGGGGGGAATTTGGGGAAATTTGTCCCTGATTTAAAAGCATGTGGTTTTCTCTCTAGACACCACTGTGGCAGGAATTTGTGGCCAAAAGTGCCTTCTGATTATCTTCCTCCTATGTAAGCCCTGCTGTGCCCAATGCAGCTTACTCTCACAGGTAATTAGATACAGACAGCATTGTAAATCACACAGGCCAGGCTCCATTAAGGCAATAAGCAAAACATAATCCTTTAAAACAATCTACCCTGTCGTCTTTTTTCATGAGTTCGTTGTGGTTTGCCCTTTTGGCTGTGCTATCTTGTAAAAGTCTGTTTGTTTGTTTTTTCAAGTGTCAAAGCTAATCTTGCTGAGAAAAGAGGAGCGCTAAACATGCCAAGGACAAATCAAGTGGTTTTGACGTTTATTTTGTTCAATCATTCTCTGTTATAAAGTATCTAAGGATACTTGTACAAGAGTAAGATCAATTGAAGTAAATAGAATAATTTCCAAGTAAATGTTTTTGAGGTCAATGCATTACAGACTTCCAGGTCACCAAATGTAAGCAAATGTAATTTTATCATATTAGAAGCCAAATATCTAGACTCCACATACCCAGCATTTTGCAGTGCAATACAAAATTGTAAGGGCATTTAAAGAATGGATTGTAGGCCTCAAACCACTTAAGTCTCTTTGCTGGACAAAATGAGCACCTTTGTGAATGTGAGGTGCCAGGAATTCTGTGCAGATCCACCTTCACCACTTACATCATGTTCTCCCAGTGATTCTTAACTACCAAATATCAAGGAGAAATCCATCTACCGTAGCTGTAGCTTCTGAATTTCTTTAGCCTTGTAGAGAATGCATTGCCAGAGTTGTGAAGTATTGGGATTAAAGCAAATGTGCATGCTGATTGTCTGATTTTACATGTTGGTAGATGCTTCAGGTAATTCCTAACAGAGGAACAATTTTATTTAAAGAATTTTAAGTGAATTTTCTTTGTGGCCTGTTTCTGTTTTAAGCTAACCTAAATGATACACAGGAGTGACATGTAACAAGTTTTCCTGTGCCTTCTGCCTGCCCTGTTCAATGCAAACCAGCAAATGGGGCTGTTTCATCATGATCATCATCTCTTCTGTAGCTTGGCCCTGAATTTTCCAGTCACAGGCTGGACTGATCAGCACAGGCTGCCTCCTTGCCAGCCTTTCTCTGCTCCTCGGCCTGCCATAAATGCACCTGGCTGTGCTCCTTCCACGAAGGATGCCCCATCAACCGACAGCAATGCGTGGAACTGCCTGCCGCTGTTTTTCAGAGCCCGTTTCGCTGACCTCCGGGCAGGGTTCAGCAAAGCTCAGGGGCTTTCTAGGAGGCTGACGCGATGGCAACCGAAGGCAGGCTCTCCTACAGGTGGCAGTTAGGAACCTGAACCCCTTTTGGAATCAAGAGCGGCGAGGAGGATGCAACTGCCATGTTTGCTGCCGGGAACTTCCCTTGCTTGCCATTTTAACGGCCACGGACGGATCAGGTCAGGCGTCCGCTTGGAACCAGCCCTGCGGCGTCGCCGCGCCACGATCCCGCGCCGCCGCGCCACGGTGCGCCCTTTCCCTGGCCCGAACCTGCGCCCGCTTGCGCTTTCTCCGCGCCGCTGTTCCGTCCGTCCGTCCGTCCGTCCGTCCGTCCTCCCTCTCCTGCCTCAGCTGTCCCCTCACTGCGCTTTCTAAGAAGGCGAGAGCAGGAAAGGGACCGCGACGCCTCGCCCGGGCGCGGCGCCCCAGCCTTCCTCGCTCCGCTCCCCTCGCCCCAGAGCCTGCGTGTATCGCTATGGAAACGGCAGGCTGGGGGGGGGGGGAGAATAGCTTTCTCCTCCTCCCCTGGGAGCAGAGACGTTCCCCGCACGGAGGCACCCGAGTGCGCTTCCCTCTCGGCCACCCTTGGGGAGCCAGGATGAGGCAGGTATTCCGCGGCAGGGAGAGCCCCCGCCACCGCCCGCGGACCTCCGGGGGCTCCCATGGCGCTAAAAGCTGAGCCAGTGCTAGGTGGAGAGAGGTCGTCCTAGCCAGAGAGAGGGAGGAGGAGGAGGAGGAGAAGGCGGATTTGGCTGTGCTCAGGTGCTCTTCCCCTTGCCCCTTCCTCTGCAGGAGTTTTGCCCTGGTTTGCACGGCGCGCTGCGCCCTTTCCCCCCGTTGCGTCTTTCGGGGCATTTCCCACGCCTGGTCCGCTAAGAAGCGCGCGTGGCAGCCCCTGGCACCGACGACCTGTGAACACGCAGGCTATTCCGAAAACTGCCTCTTAATCCTGCGCAGGGAACTTTTAACACGTGGGCGCAAAGAGGGTGCCTGCTTCTGGGGGCCGGCGTGGCTCTTTTGGGACCAAGCTCCGAAGGACCTGCGCTTCCCAGACCGGGGTTGGTGAAATGGCTCATAGGAAGAAGGGGGATTGCGAGGTGGACGCGCGAGAGAACCACTGAATTTGTTTGGAGCCCTCTGAAAGGCGGGGGGGGGGGGAGGAAAAAAAGTGAGCACAGACGTTTCTTGGCCTTGTGGGAAGCCTGCTGAAGGTTCACGTAGCAACCTAAGGTATAGTGATCCCTTGGCAGAAGTTGAGAAGGGGTGTGTGAGTGTGCTTGCGCGTGCAGCATGGAGGGCATGCAAATAGGTGGCCATAGCCTTGGTTGGATTATGGGAGAGTGTTGTGGGCAGCTCAGTGTATTCCTCAACCCCTGACACCCGCCCCCCCAATTTTAGCCAAATCAGGTCACAGATTAGCCTTTTAAAAACAGCTGAGGGGGCCATCACAAAAGAAGCCCGATCTTCTCTGCCCCCTCGCCCTGGTAATGTGAGAGTTCCACGACCCGTGCAAGGATGAAACTGGATCTGAATTAGAGCTCAGCAATAGGCAGGTGCTGGATCATATGAAGTAGGAATATGATGGGAATGATTCTTTGTGCTTTTGCTGAGTAATCAGTCGGACCTCACACACCAGATGAAAGCATTGTGGTGTGGGACTGGCACTCAGGTGACCTGGGTTCTAGTCCCCACTCAGCCATGGGGCCAACTGGGTGGCTTTGGGCCGATCGCAGACTCTCAGCCCAACCTACCTCACAGGGTTGTTGCTGTTGTGGGGATAAGACTGAGAACAGTCTGACGGAATGATTTAAGCCACTGTAAGCAAAAAAGACACAATGTAAGTCTAATAAAGAAAACAATGAAATTTCTGCATAGTAAGACTTCCCACCGGAGAGCGTGACTTCTCAGGTCTGGCCTACTGTAAAAATTAACAACTGGGAGATGTGTTTAACAGGTTGATAGAAAAATGTGCTGGTATGCTGAGGGACTAGTAAGTGGATTAATGGAATATGATAGTGGAATGGAAGATGGATTTTGCTTGCAGCAGAGTGAGACATGGTAACATGATGTGATAGAATGAACTGGATTCTTTGTGCACTGGATGTTAGGGGATCACATTTTAATGCTTCCCTGTGATTTAAAAAAAGGTGGGGAATGGGAAGAAAGAAGCCCATTCCCCTCTCTGCTCATGTAAAACTAGCTGGGCTAAAAGCTCCCATTCCTGATAAGTTAATTGCTGGGATTTCACTGGAGTGTTGGCTATGGTATCCTTTATCTACTCAGCCTTTCTATTATTCCACTGTTTGGTTCTGTGATGCTCCTTTGAGGTAGAAGGGAATTTTTAGATCATGGAATCTACATGAAACAGCTAAACAATAATTAAATAATTTTGAAAGCTCTGCTGTGTCTCATACTCCTGTGTCATATTTTTTCCTATTGTCCCATTGAAATTTTTGCTGTTAATATATTCACAGAATTTGAGAAATTAAACTTGTTGAAAAAAAAATCATTTAACACTAATTGTGCCCTTGCTGTCATCGACAGTTTGCATTTTCTGCCTGCTTGCTTTTCTCCAATCTCAAATAGTTCCTGCTGAAAACCAGAATAAGCATGTACTTTACTGTTAATATGTGGTGATGCTTTCCTCTGGAAGGAAGTACAACCTGCTAACCTGCCATATTTGCCACATTGTTGCTTTTGGAATAATTTGGAGCACCCTGGTCTTGCAGGACTTCGCATATTTGATTTGAGGATGAATGAGAAACAGAAGATCAATGAAAAGGAAAGGAGGGGAGGGTTTAGTGTCTATAAAACTGGATGCCGGAAGGTCCAGTGACCGCAGAACTGGGGTGGAATGTAGTTTCTTTACTATGATCTTTCACTTTTACTGTTTTGCAGCTCTAGATCATGTGAATATGTAGGAAAGGAAACACCTCATAACTTTATCATCCTCAAGAGAATGGCAAGAACTGGTTGCCTAGCAGAGGTTGCTCTTTAAACTGTATTGCAGCTGAAACCTTAAGGACAGTGTTCCTGGTTCTTTTAGGGAACAGGATATCATTGGTGGTGGCCCCAGCATGGCAGTTTGGTTGTTTGTATATGCAGTTCATATCCTGCAAACAGGAAATTGAACAAGTTTGCTGGAGAAAGACTGTGAGGAAAATAAACCTGTTCTTGTCAAACCTACAGGTGCGCAGACAAAAGTGTCCATTAGAAGCAGGAACCAGAAGAAGGAGGTTGAAGCACAACTATGAGTAGTCCCGGCACCAAGGCAACCTGTTTGTCACAGCCAGTGGTGAAGAGTGTGATGGTGTATCGAAACGGGGATCCATTCTTCCCAGGGCGCCGTGTAGTCATCAATGAGAAGAAGGTGGCTAGTTTTGATGTCTTCCTAAAAGAAGTGACAGGTGGGGTGAACGCTTCTTTTGGGGCAGTGCGGAATATCTACACACCTCGTGGTGGGCACCGCGTCCGGCAGCTAGATGATATTCAGAGTGGACAGTGCTATGTTGCTGGTGGCAGGGAGGCCTTCAAAAAACTCAAGTGAGTAGAAGCTTTTTAAAACATGGCAATTGGCCTAGAAAGTGAGCTGTGTAATCTTTTAAACTATGGTATTCAAGTGCCTTGGAATTTATCAAGTGGAAATGGATACACAATCCCTTTGGTCCAAGAAATTCAAGAGTAAGTTAACATTTATTAATAACTCAAGAAAGGAAGGTACTTCTCTGTCCAATACTCCATTTCCTCCATTTCTGTCATTTTTCCCCGAAAGAAAAGACAGAATTGGTTGAAACACTACTTTTGTTCTACCAACTCTTTCCCATTTGGTTGTCATTGGTGTGAACATCTGAGGCTATTTGTGGTATCTCATCTCTATGTTTCAAAGACTGCAATCCTATACACAGAAGGATGGCCAGATGCAAAATGCTCTTGGACATTTAACAGTTGAGCATTGCAGCAGGGGCAGCTTATTATGCAAATTATGGCTGCTGAAATTTAGTGAAGATACAGCAGCTCTAAGCACTTTTGCATCTGACCACCTAGTATACATCTACTTGTTGAGCTCAGTGCAATTTATTTCTGAGTAGACACAAATTGTTAAGGTCTATGCATTTAATCTCTTTTACAAGACAGACATAGAATGCAGAGAAATGCACTCTGATCACATCCTATGAATACCACTTAAATTTTACAGGGTCTGTAAGACTCCAAGACTTAATTTAAATGCCAAATATATGTAGTTACTAACAAAACATAAGGTTTAACATCCATTTCTCCAATAAGAAAAATCTGAAAACAATAGTTCCAGACTTCTTTGGTGAAAGTCAAGATAGTCACATAAATCTGATTGCACGTTTATAGAATAATACCTTATACAATGTCATAGAATGTTACTTAGGATACACTTACTCCTTCAGATTGTCTGTGACTGGCTTAAAATAAAAGTTGTGGATCTAAGATCCTACTATACTATGAAGTACAATTTTCCTAATACAAAATGTGTTAAGAAGTGCAGGGTTTGTTTGTTAGTTTGTTTAAATGTTTAGTTTTTGGAAGGTATTGTCTGTTCTTTGTGATTAGAAGGCAAATCTAAGCTTGTTTTGGAATTTTCCAATTCTCCAGATCATTTTTGCAAGTAGAATTTTCATTGCTCAGCATATTTTTCTCTTTGTCCATGTCCCCAGTTCTAAACCTGCTGCTTCTAGCCTTGCCCCATGTTTTGATGATTATTTAATCAAATAATTTAAAAAGGGGTACCAAAATCTCAAATTCTATATAAAATCCCACACTTACCAAATCATGCAAGCAGAATACCTCATGCAATCTTACAAAATAAATATGCTCCTGTCTAACATTATTGTAATTGCCTCATATAATAATTGTAATTTTGTTTACAGTTTTTATTACTTCTTGTTTGGTAAAATGGATATTGAAACTAGTGTATAAAGTATATGACTCAAAGGCTTAAAATAAACAAATTGATACATACATAAAAAATTCAGTTACAGACTGCTTGTATAAGCATTAGTTCAGATCCTAAACTATTGGGCAGCCCTTTCATAATGTAGTATTAACTTGGTTACATTATGACAGGAATTGGTTTTTAATATGTGTTTGATATATAGCTGATACAAGAGAGACTCTTCAGCTGAATGGAGTAGGTCCTGCAAGCAAGGCTTTCTTAACTCACTATAAATCATTACTATAAGGTTCATTTTTATGAGCAGAGAAAGATGTGCAAGGAAGGCAGAAGTTGCAGATGATTTCTTTAAAGGTATATCTCCATTGCGTTATCACAGGTCCTGGCAATTTGGCAAGTTTTGGAATGTTTCCGACATTCAGTGAAAGAATTTCCAGGAAGCCATGTGAGGGTGGTGTGTGAGGGATATTTCTCCACCCCTCGGAATGTCCAGTACAGGGTTCCTCAGGGGTCGGTCTTGTCCCCCATGGTATTCAACATCTACATGAAACTGCTGAGTAAGGCTAACTGGAGCTTTGGAGTGTGTTGTCATCCGTCTGCTGATGACATGCAGCTCTGTTCTCCTTGTAATTCAGCAGGTGAGGCTGAATCCTCGCTGTCTGGCTGTGACAATGGACTGGATGAGGGCCAACAAACTGAAGCTCAGTTCAGACAAGACTGAGATACTGTTCTGGGTGGTTCATCTGACTGAATGGAGGGAATTCAACCTTGTTTAGATAAGGTTGCGCTCTCCCTGAAGAGGCTGGTTTGTAGCTTCAGGGTGCCCTTGAGCCATCTTGGTCACTTGAGGCCCAGGTGGCTTCAGTGGCTCAGAGCGCCTTCCACTATCTTTGCCTGGTGGCCCAGATACACCCCTATTTGGACAGAAATAGCCAGCTATCAACGATCTATGTTCTCGCGATCTCTCAACTAGATTATTGCAATGCACTTCAATGGGGCTGCCCTTGAAGACAGTTCAGGGGCTGTAGCTTGTGCAAAATGTGGCAGCCAGGCTAATAACAGGGACCAAATAGATAGATCATATAGCAGCAGTTCTGGCCCACTTTCACCAGCTGCCTGTATGCTTCTAACCACAATTCAAGCTTTGAGTTTTAACCTATGAAGCCCTACGTGGCTTGGAAACCATGATATCTGATGAAATGCCTTTCCGAACTACCATCTACCTGGACACTGTGATCAACCTTTGGAACCTGCCTCCAACTGCCACCTCGAAGGGAGGCTTGGTTGGTGAAGACAGGGAGAGGGGCCTTTTCACCGGTGGCCCCCACAGCTGTGCAATGAGCTCCCCACTGAAGCCTGCTTGGTGTCCACCTCACTATCTTTTGGCACCTGGTCAAGACTTTCCTCTTCCACAGGTCATTTAATTAGTTGGGGCTTCGTTAATTTTTTAATCCAAGTTCTGTCAGGCTTTATTTTGCTTATGTTTTCAGAATTTTATATTTAAATGTGGGTTTAAATATGGGGTTAGAAATATGGTTTAAATTTTCTTGTATGCTAATGTTTACTCCTGATGTTTTATATTGTGGGGCATTTTCAGATGACGTTTTAATGGATTATTGTAAACTACCTAGAGAGCTTTGGGTGTTGGGTGGTACATAAATAAATAAATAAACGTGCCAAGTTGCATATAGTTTCCATTCATCATTAGATCATGGCATTAGATCCTACTTGCAATGCAGTTACTTATACTGATGCCAAGCCTATTCACATGTAGGAATTTAGCTAGTCTCTTTAGTTTTTATTTAGTCTATTTAGTGCAACGTTCCGTGCACCTCGGTGTTTAGTCATGTAGCCACATGACCACGGAAACTGTCTGCAGACAAATGCTGGCTCCCTCGGCTAGGAAACGGAGATGAGCACCGCTCCCTAGAGTCAGGCATGACAGGACTTCACGTAAAGGGGAAACCTTTACCTTTACCTTTATTTAGTTTTTACCATTAAATTCTCTTATGCTTGATTTCCTTAAGATATGGAATGGATGGATGGATATGCTCCATTATTTTGCTCTTTTCCTCCTCTGTAAAGCAGAGATAAGCAGACTTCAAGCTTGTGAGATCCACTTTGTTTTTCACTAGAGCCCCAAGATCTACCACCTGAAGCCAAGTACAAAAAACATATAATCAAAGAACAGTGTGCTATGAATATATTCTGAACTTGGGCATTTATTTTCATTTTCAGGACTCAGGGAAACTGAGATCACAGCCCTTTCACACAGAAATCCACTTCTGGTTAGCTTGCACCTCATTCCACCAGCCTGAGTTGAAAAAAGTCTAACATTATTGTTATTTTAAACAATTAGGAGTTGCTGTCTCCAAACAAAACACTTCTTGCTGCACAGCATGTCACCAGAGATGTCCGAGGAGATCTCCCAACTGCCTTCTGTCCACCCTTGTACTAAAACAATATGCATCTTGAAATAATAGTTCAGTTATTTCAGTGTGATATTTGTTAGAGTCATTTGTCTCTCCAGTTTCTTGATTTCTTGAGCTTAACATTTCCTGTACTTGCTTTACACTGTTATCAGTGTTATCAGAAAAGCATTCTATTAATCTCAATCATCTTTCTTTCAAGCATGAAGAAAAGGGTTTTCTGTCTGCCTGATGATGCATACTTAACACACAAGATGTAATCAAATTTTGCATTGTACTGAAGAAAATAGACCATTTTGTTCTCAAATGCTATATAGTTTACATTCATATTTCAGTTTATGTTCTGGTGGATACTTTTGTATTGTCCCAGTTTGTGATATATCTGACTGGTCTCTGAATCCACATTAAAGGCAGTTTAGGCAGTTTAGGCTGATGTCTTAGACCTACTGATACTTTTATTTATACATGTATCTATAGGCCACCTATTCAGTGAATCCTACACAGAATGGGCATGTACAAGACTGTACCGTGATCAATATTCCTTTTCACAGATATGTATCGCATATGGACCATCCCCTATGGGTTATCCAACTTCTTTCTATTTCTTGAATATGAGAAAGACCTATGCTATATTTAACTATACTATACTATGCTATATTTATTTATTTAATAGATGTTTTGGCTTTCCTATTAGCCACAGGGCTCCCTTGCTCTCTATATACCAAGAGCAAGCTTGTTCTTCAAGTTTTGAGCTTTATGTAGCCAAAAATGCTTCCACCTTTGCACAAGGGGAAAGGAACAGAAGGCTTGGGGTGAATGTCAGGGTCAACAGAAGTACAACAGCAACAGAATTAGGAAAAATATTAAGGCAGGAAATTTCCAAATAGAGGAGAATTGACTGTGCTCAATGGACAAAGACAGCTCACCAAATCCTGGGGATGAAAGACAGGAGAATGGAAAGTATCCTGGAAAAGGATGTTAGAAGGCTCTATTTGTAATAACAAATACCCTGTTGTTGATTTTCAGCTACCTGGACATTGGAGAGCCAAAGAAAAGGCCTACAGAAATTAATAATGAGGTAATGTACAAATTATACATCGAAAGCAATACTTTCAACTTATGATATACTTCAATCAAGGGAGATATGAACAGATCAAACAGTTATTGATTTTGGCTGCAAGCCAATACTCAATTACCTATGAGTAAATTCCATTGGACTCTAGGAGGATTACTTTGGAGTAGTTATGTATGGGACTGCACTGTAGGAGTTACTTCAGTGGCTCAACACAGAGGTCTGGTCAGAATACAATATGTACCAATAACTCAAACACATTTGGCCTGGACCCAGAGCTTTTCTGCCCTTTTCCCAGGTTCCACTTGGGTTCTGTTCAAAGGGCAATAATTTATTAGGAACTTGGGAAGCTGCATTATACAAGGCATACCATGGATTCAGGAAACGGTCTTATTTATGCTGGCCGGCAGTGCCCTCCAGGGTTTCAGAGGACCTTTTCTGACCCTGCTTGGAGTTGATAGGGAATCTGGGACACTCTGCATGAAAAGTGAGTACTCTGCCACTCGGCTATAGCATCTCATTATTAACAGCCAAGGAGCACCAGTGTTTGGGTAGGTTCCTATCACTCTACACATCTATAAGGAACAGAAATTGTGAATCTGGCTTATTCCAGAGTAATTAAATTCAAATCAAAGATGATCATCTTGAGACGAGTGCTATACTGGACTTCATAACTTGCTAATGGAACACCGAGGCTTGCCTTTGCAGAGTAATATTTTGTACACATACACTTTGGTATTTACTCTCTTGAATAGCTCAGAATGACTTATGTTCTGTCTCTGATTATGTCTCTCCCAACCTTCTTAGCATCTACAGTGTGACAGGACTGGCTGGGCCCACAACAAACTCACTCATGCATGTATGACTATGCTAAATTATGGCACAGAAAATCCATCATTTGGAATTAGTTCATTTTTCATAGTTTTGCTTGAGCTACCTCCTCCCTCCAGTATTCAATAACATGAGCACATGTAAATGATATGTGGGCTAAAATCAGGATAGATTACTTTTAGCTTTCTGTTGTCTACAACTAAAAATTAGAATGACACAGTCCACTAATGTAGTTCAGATATTCAAAGCAAGAGTGCATATTCAGGATGTCTTAACAATTAAGGCACAACTAATTTATGTTAACTGATCCTGAGCATGACCTTTTCCCATAAAAATGTAAGAAGTGGCTTTTTGGTCCAGCCAAGGGTCCAGATAGATGGGGCCCAAGTTTACCTGTCCATTTCGGACTAAAAACTGTAGGACAGATCATGGGCATGGGCTGCATTCTGGCACTGTAGAAACTGAGACTTGTTTGTTCCCTCCTCACCCTCTGATGCTTTTTTTGTGCATGGTAGTCTCTGTCTAGAATCGATCATCCAGCTTTTCATCAGGAGGCATTAGGGGCCTCCTATTGTTGTCTGCAGCAAGCTAACATTTGCCGTTTTGCTCAGACTTGACCAACAGTTGATTGGGCAAACTGCAAGCCTGCCTGCAAGAAACGATCCCAAACCATGGTTTGGTTCTGTTTTGAGATTCTGAGTTTGCAGGCAAGTCATAATTCTAAACTCCTTTCCTCATATACAGGCTAGGGGAGGAGGGAGAACACGAGGCTCATGCCTCCTCACCATTGCCGGAGTCTTTGTTTCTTTGGCTCAGTTCAGACAGGAAGCCACTCCATGGCAACCTGAATCTGGCAATTAGAACTAGAAGACCTGGCCTGACGAGGGCATGCAAACTGTTTTGCATGATTGACAAGCCATTGCTAGGGCCATTGTTCTGATCCCAGTGGCTTTTGCAAATTAGAAAGTGGGGTTCTGAGCTGGTGGAAGATGAAAACAGACAAACCATAAATCATGGATCCTGTATGTTTGGAAGCTCAAGCTGTGATTTGGATTCTTATATGTTATTAATGGAAGCCCTTGTTTAGTGGGAAATATGAATTGAAACTTTATAGACAGATTATGCCAGCCTGAGAAGTGTTCTAAAGCTAAGATCCAGTCACTTCCAAGTTTTTGTTTTTTTCTTTGTTGCTGTCGATTTCTTGTCCTTTTCAGGGAATCCAAAACCAGTATGTTCTGCTTAAAACATGGACTACATGGTGTTAGTGGAATCTTTGAATGAACTTCAGTGCCAAAGAGACCACAGAGTTTGATGGAAAGGGAAGAAATATGTTCAGAATAAGTGAAATCATAGTTTATAACCTGAATTATTCATTTGCACATGCATAATATAGCATGTTCTTAATTTGAGCCAGACCTTATTCCTTTGATACTCTCCAGCAACTGGTGCTCAGAAGCTTATTGCTTCTGAAACATCCCAATTAGAAGCTATTGATATTATTCTCCATGAATTGGTCTAATATAAATTGCTCTGTGGCTGTAGCTTTCATATATTCATTAGGTCTGTGTGACGAGGTAATTTCTTTTGTCTATCTGGAATCAGTTTCATTAGATGACTTTCTTCTCACCAACCATAATAATATATCATGGTTTTTTTCCTGACTTAGGAAGACCCCAAACACACAGCCTTACTGTGAAGGGAAATTGCCATCCACAACTTTAATCATTTTGGTTACACTTTTCTGTGTAATTTCCATCTAGCGGGACCTTGCTTTTTCTGAAATATTGTGATTAGAAGTGACTACATTGGTATTTCCCCTTTTTTCTTTTGGCAAAGGCTAAAAAGTTGCATCGCATCGGACCTCCTAGACCAGTGATTCCCACTTTACCAATTAGCACCCCCCTGGGGAGGGGTGGAAAGATCCAGGTGGTGGAAATTGGTAAATTTACACTACAGCCGTAGACCTAAAAGGGAGAGGCATGGAGGGGCTATGGTTGCCACCCAACAAGAAAGGAGGAAGCAACTAGGAAAGGTTTGGGGACCACTGTCTTAGCCTTATAGCCAATTTCCTTAAAATATACCTCAAAGGGGGCAAAAGCAAAGATCCGCTCTTACACTTGCTATGCAAACTTGGATTTGGGCTTCAGGCTCAAGGCAGTGCTGAAAAAGGGCAAAGATTCTTGGGACATCAACCAGCCACTTTGGCAAAAGCAGTGACAGGCACAGCCCCTTGGAGAGGTGGGGCGGTGGTGTAAGATGGGGCTACCTTCAAGTTCTTTTATTGCACGCTGATGTTTACAACAGTTTCATAAATGTATACCAGCAAGGAGCTACAAAGCTGATGCAGAGAGAGAGAGAGAAAGAGAGAGAGATTGGGGGTTTTGTAGAGGGAAGAAGGAGGTCTAGTTCTACACCTCTTGCCTGATTGTCCTGACTGACTGATAGTCCTGTGTTGCACTGAAAAGATCGCAGGAGGAGATAGAACTTAGATCAAATCATTCTTCTTTGAATCAAGACTTTTCCAAGCAGCAGCTCCAGTCATAGGAACACAGGAAGAATCCACTGAATCAGGCCAAAGGTCTATTCAGTCCAGCTCACTGATTTCCACAGTGGCAACCAATTGCCCTTGGGAGGCCGCAAGAAGGGCGCAAGGGCAGTAACTATCTCTTGTTGTTGTATCCTAGTAACTGATATTCAGAGCTATGTTGCCTACAGGTAGCAAACATGCACTAATAGCTCTTTCTTCCATTAATTTCTCTAATTCCTTTTTAAGGACAACTTGATTAATAAAAGAATAAAAACATTCTATTATCTAACAGAGAAGACTTTGCATCCGCAGGCTTTTGCCACATCCTGTGGAAGCAAAGTCTTCTCTGTTAGATAATAGAATGCACAAAATAGCTGTTTCACCCTTTACAAAGCATTCCATTGTAAATCACACTGGAATATTCTTCCAATAATGTTCTGCTCTTCCGTATTAAAAAATTCTCCTTTAAGAGGCTAATGTAAGATTCCAGAACAGGAATTACCTTTCCTTACACTGAAGTAAACTTCTTACTGAGGATTTCACTTTCTAGGATAAGTAAACTTTTTAAAAGCAGGGGGCAGTTAGAAAAAAAAAAGCTTCTTTTTGAAGCTTTTGTATTTTATTAAAAAAATGTCATTTATTATGTGTTATGGGGCTAGAAAGTTGCAGTATACATATGAAGTGTAACAAAGAAGAACTTTATTTCTTACATTAAAACATCAATCCAGTTCTTTAGGAGCTGGGTTTTTAATTAAAGTTTTGGAATAGCATCTCACTAAGTTGTTTGGTACTTAGTGTCTTGGTAACCTAATTAGCACAACAAGTCGAACAAACACTGTTATTCTTCTGAAATGAATTCCTTGAGGATTCAGTATGGTATTGACCAGAAAGCCTGAGAAAACAAAGCCAGCATTTCTAATTTACACATGTACTGCTAATTGCCATGTAGTGTATTCCACAAAGATAACAGCCCAGTCAAGCTTGAGTACCCGAGAATGCATTTCCCATACAAGGTTATTCTAAGGCAAATGTATGAAGTCTATGCACAAATGTAAGTAGCCTTTCCCCAAGAGTCCACTGACCTGTACAGACACACTTGTCCAGGTAGGCTGATCCCACACCCTCTGCTAGTGCAGTCCTCTCTGCAGGTATTCATGTGAGGGGAATGGGCAGTACTGGGACACAGAAAAATAGGGACAATATAGAGAAAAAGCTTGGCTGGTTCCAGGAGCTAAAGTCTGCAGATGGGGACAAGATATTGCTTTTAGGTACTAATTAATTCTATATGGGCAGTGATTTCATAAATCTGGATAAACTTTCCCTTTGTTCTAGATGTTTTGTTTCTTATAAAGGCACTTTCTTTGGTTTAGCTACTGAACACGGAATGTTCTTTTCATTTGCTTGATAGCCTTTGAACCTGATAACCTGACTTCTTGGTCCCCTTGATAAACAGACTTCTTGATTCCCTTGAGCCCAGTCAGCCCCAAGATTTTCTCTACAGAGAAAACAAATTGTTATTTCTTCATGCAACAAAAACATTTTAAACTCCGAAAAAAAAGGTGCTGGGTTGAAAGTTACTTTCAAATAAAATAATGTCTATCTGAGTCCTCCTCGTATTTATGAAATAAAAAGCCAAACTTATATTATCCACTAGCAGCAAACCAAACATGCCACCTGTAGCAAACCAAAAATGCTGTCTCCTTCTGTGTGCCCTCATCCTTTTATCACATGGTGAAATATTGAACAAACATCCCCTCTCCCAATGTAATAATGTTGCTGGAATTTTTATAAGAATCTTCTTAAAACAAAGAAATAGATCTATATCTTCATTATGATTTAGCTGCAGCTCTTGTTCAGTCACTAAAAACTGTTATTTTTAATCTTACATTATAAACTGGTAGGATTCCTTTCATATATTTTGAATAGGAGAACAGCTTCCTGCAGAGTCAAAGTCAGTGCTAAAGGGCTAGATGCATTAAACAGCAAACCCCATAAGTTTGTCAGCAGTAAACGCAAATGAATCTACCCACGTACCATTAAACATTCGGTTTTCTTCAGAAACTTTTCTTTTCTTTGGATTTATCCATGGTTGGAGGGGGGGAAAGCTCAGTAAATCAGCGGGGTCACAGATATAGGTGTGGTCAGTAACTGATTAGCAGATAAACAGTCAAGTGATGTGAATTGTGACAGGTCCCAAGCACAGCTTTCAACATTCAGATGAAGGAGATTACATTGGGACAAAGAGAATCTTTTCAGCAGTTTCATGTAACATGAGAGCCTGTAGGAAGCTTGTTTAGCAGAGGAATGTAGCGATTTACTTAACTAGCTGATTTACTTAACTAGCTCTCCTGAGTGGAGAGCTTCGAGCAGATCTTGTTTTGAGCGACGGAGCCGCAGCAGAGGGGTTCATGAGCCATGTGCGGCTCCGGAGCTGTGGGTTGCTGACCCTTGGCTTAGTATGTGAAGTGAAAGTATAACCTTGAATATTCAAGAGAAACTATCATCATCATCATCATGAGAGCCAGTGTGGTGTAGTGGTTAAGAGCATGGGACTGGGACTCAGAGGATCTGGGTTCGAGTCCCCGCTCGGCCATGGAGCCAACTGGGTGACTTTGGGCCAGTCACAGTCTCTCAGCCCAACCTACCTCACAGGGTTGTTGTTGTGGGGATAAAATGGAGGAGGAGAGATAATGTAAGCTGCCTTGAGCCCTTTGTAGGAAAAAGGCAGGATATAAATCGAAAAATAAATAAATAAAAAATCATCATTGCATTTATATCCCACCATTTTTCCTCTTGTGAGGAATCCAAGACAGCTTGCATAGCTTCATTTAATCCTCACAAGAAGAACCCTGTGGGTAGGTTAGGCTGAGAGTGAGTGACTGGCCCAAAGTCACCCAGTGGCCATCATGGCCAAGTGGCAACTAGAACACGATGCTCTTGGGTCCCCAGTCAAACACTCGAGCCACCACACTGGCTCCTTATTTTCCTAAATATACCCTTTTCACTTTTCTGAAAGGATACCAGTTCACTGCAAAATGGGTAGCCCTGATGAAAGCTTTTTTTTCATTTGATTCCAATATTGTCACAGCCATTCAAGGGCTTGACCATACCATTTAAAGTCCTAACCTACTAACAAAGGAAGAAGAAAAGTAAATAACTCCATGGGTAAATGTGAGGGTGATTCTCATCATTGTGCTACAACTACTGAATTTCCTCCTGCTCGTCACCACTCTTGATGGTAATTATACTTGAGGCAGGAGATACATTGACTTACTTACATGTGTAGGTTTCACAAAGTGGTGCCTTATTTTCATACCCGGAAGGCAAGCCAGGGCTTTCGGTGTGCCTTGACTGTTGTGATCACGCAATGTCGTATCGGCCTGCCACTGTCCAGGCCAAAGCACTAGGACGGGGCTTGGAAAAGCATGTTGCTGGTATTATCTACTTGAGAACTGGCGCATAACGCATTTCCAAGGGGCACTTTTTGTGTGTGCATGGCCCCACTTACTGGCTTGTGTTAATACCTGTGGTGTTTGATTTGCAAGTTACTTATGGACGGCATTTGCTGCACAGAGCAAAATTGTTGCAGAATGTGGTACTTTGCATGCTGTAGATTTTGAGGCATGGCCTTAATGGAAGACAGTGTCTGGGTTCACACCAGGTTTTGGGGTGCTTTTGAAATCACCCCCACCATGTGTCTCAGCAAGTTTGGATGACATGGGAAGCTGAGCACTGATAATTAGGCAAACGGTGCAGTGAGTGAGTGCCATGCAGGGCGAGGGGAAAAGAAACCACGGGGGATGCTTCCCCCCCCCTGATTGCAGGAACCCAGCCACTGTCATAAGGTCTCTTTGCATGATAGTGCGCAGGCAGTAATGGGTTAAGGCACATGTGGCCCAACTGAGCATGTTTGCTTTTGGGCATTGGGTCACCCCATTCAGTAGTATTGAAACAACTTAGTTAAAAAAACGCTCTCCCTAGGGAGAGTCGCCTGGCGCCTTCTTTATACTCTTTTCGGCACCAGGCGAAGACTTACCTCTTTAAAAGAAATTTTAATATTTATTAGTCGTTATCTAACCCTCCACTTGCATTGTTTTTAATGTAATTTTATCTGGTGTTATATTCATTTATGCCATAGTTTTATTGTTTTATAAAGTGTTTTAATTTTCTGTTGTTAACCTCCTAGAGATATCATGGCAAAATAGGGAGCCTATACATGATTAAATAAATAAATATTTCCCTCCACAACCTGTTGAGAATAAACAGATGGCATTTAGTTCAACATAACTTTTACTTTATTTGTTACTATGTTGTCCGTTTATGACTTGGCTGCTAAACCTGTTGTTTTGCTTTCTGCCAACAGTCAGCACTGGAAGATGTAAGTACTTGTGCTGAATATTTTGTGCTGTGTGTATATTATCTGTATTCGATTCGAATAAGGCCTATTATAGTATAGAACGCATGTTTGATGCCATGTCTTTATGTCGAATGGCCATGCCCACGTCTGAGGACCGTATGTAGACACTGAAGGCACATGAACGCAGATACTGCATGCAGAAACTAAATGTACATTTAGCCTAGTTCCATCTCCCTTCCAGTAAGAGAGACTTTTGTGTACAGCCCCAGGTGCTACAGTGGTTGTAGCACCACTGGCAAAATGCCGATTGCTTGTTCTTGGGAATGGGGAGAAGGGGAAACTGAATCAGCCCTGTGCTTTCCCTCCTTACTCCCTGGAGAAATGATCACTGGTATGGCTGCAGATGAGAATATTACCTGCCTCTGTAACAACCTATGCAAGATTCCTAGGTCTTCTCACACTCTGATCTTTGAAGAGAAGCCTGGTATTCAAGGGTGGTGTCTGTTGGACTGGGTGGAACTTGTTGATTTTTAAAATGTATTTCAAGTTGACTGTGTTACCTCTATTGGATGGTTACTATCCTCTTCCCTATTTGTTGTCAAAATATAATTAGTATTCCTATAATGAATTGATACACTCTTATCAGCCAGTCTTATATGGAGACAGGGACAGAGAGAGAGAGAAAAATGACTGGATTGGGATGATTTAAACTGCATCCTGGAGGAGAAGGCTATAGAAAATTGGCTTTCCCTGGCTCCTCAACCTGAAAAGTTCTGGCTACTTAAATAAGAGATTAAGGGCTATGATGATGTGAGATCCATAGCCTAAATACAGTTGTTTTCCCAAGATGCTGCTTTACTTACTATATTACTTGGTGACTCTTGAGGGGATCATATTTCAGATACTGTGATATTGCAGCATTTTGTTAACAAAATAAGTAGATGAACTACTTGAAACTGGATCTTAGGGCAGTTCATTAACCTACCATACAGGTAGAATTATAGGAATCAATACCACTGAGACAGGCCATTTCCCCTACAGATTGGATCACTTTTTCATGATATATCTTTTGGCTGAATACTTATCATGCCAATTCTGCTTCTCAAGATCTTAGCCTTCTTCAGGAGTTTTCCCTTGAAATGAAAGGAATTGTGCAACAAATGCAACTGTGTTGTGGTCTGTATAATAATTTTATGCCAACAGTGCACTTTGTATAAAGTACGTTGAAGCAAATACTTGGTTATTCTGCAAAGGTATACTTTTTATTAGGCTGAACCAATAGCTCTTTCTAGACTAGCAATGAATGCTGCGGGGAAGGAGATCAGGGAAGGCTGATTCTGACCTGCTGTTGACACTTCATTGGTTTCACCTTCTGAATAGAGAGCCTGTATGCATACACCTTACAAGCACTGATAAGAAAATCAGAAGGATGTGCAGATGGCTTGGGGTTTCCCTTTGCATCTTCACTGGCTATATATAAATGGATAATTTTACAGTGTAAAAAGATAACATTCACTGTGTTTGTATAGGTCTGAGCGGCTTTGTGAGACCAGTCCAGAAAGCCAGTGTGAGATGAGACACAAAAATGAGAGAGCTTTGCTCCTCCTATGGGATCATGGTGGTACAAGTGTTCCCTCTTACTTAAGTGTAGATGCTGGAATGTATGCAGAAGTAAAATTTCTGTATACAGATGTAACTATTCTGAGTCATTCCCAGAACTTCAGACTTGCAGGCTCATTAGACTCCTTTGCTTGGAAATTCCTGGGAGAGTGTGGTTTCATATATATATACATATACATACATACATACATATATATATATATAGAGAGAGAGAGAGAGAGATTGATGACAGCAGGAACAAATGGTTCTCGTATATATATTGAGAATAGAGATATAGGACCTTCCTGCTATGAGATCTGTAGAGTGGGAGATTTACATGGGAAACTTCTTTTTGCCTCCTGTTTTTCTTTTCCTAGGATGCTCTGACTTTCAGTGTAAGAGTCACTGTTCTAAGGTATTAGTGAAATACCATTATTGGACCAATTTAAGATTACAGAAACATTGTTTCTCCACTGGCAATCCTGCTTGATGAGAATATCCGTAGAGCAGAAAAGCTTGTTTAATTGTTGTGATAGTTTTGTTGATTGAGTAAAGATGCTACGCTAACATTGATTTTGGAATTTTCTTATGGTTAACATGGTAACCTTTTTCCTGCTGTGAAAGGACACCTTTTCAAATATGAGAGAACTCTACCCCCATTTTTTTTAAAGTGCTTATGCAGTCCTTGGGAAACAGTGTCTTAAACCCTGCTCAGTAGTCTCTGTAGTCTTTTCAGTCTTTCAAATTTAATTTTTGCTACCACAAGAGCTCAAGGTCACTTTAAAAATCAAAACTATATATAGCTGGGGCTCTAAGGAGATGGAATTATTTGGTATTGGTATTATAATACCAAACCATACTCTAGAATCTTGAAATATACTCCTCCTCCTCACCACCACCACCAGATTACATTTCTATACAGACTGTAGCTGAAGCTGTTTGGACATTTGCAACATTTAAGTCATCCATCCAGATTTCAACCAGGCCTGACCCTGCTTAGCTTCCAAGAATAGCAGGATCAAGCTATCCTGCTATCCAGGCTATACATAGCACTGTGTATGTCTATTAAATTGGGATAGTAATGCCCCTTAATTAAGGTGAGTTACAAAAAAGAAAAAAAAGATGTTTTGCTTTTATTATCAGCTTCAATTTTCTGCTGCCTATAAAAATGAGCTGTAGAGCTCTGTAGATCTGTAGAGCAAGAAACTTGAAATTTGATACCCATAATCTACTGATGAGTCCTAAAATTGTAAACCAAATAAAACTGATATAGATAAAAGTGCTGAAAATTGACACATTTATAGTTTTTATTGAAACAACAGCTTATAATATATTTATTTCAATTTCCAGCAGAAATTATTATTTATTTTATTATTTACTGGGCTTCTATACCACTGGATATATTTAAAATATTTCTAAGTAGTGATATACTTTATTCAGGCATGTCAAGGAAGCGTGGCTTTCATTGTTTGATGAAATTCTGGGCAAGACTTTAAAAGTTATCAAAGATTTTTTTGCCCCACGAAAGCCTATGTTAGCAACTGCTGGTAAAGTTACACCAGGCATGCTTAGATTCACTCTGAAGCTATGGTGATGCCAGTACACTAATGTTTTTAGAGGAATTTCACTGTCACTGTTAGCATTCTGACAGTGGATGAGGATTAACAGGGAACTGTCAAGAGAGATAAGAGTGAAGTGATTTTCAAAGCTGAAGGATCGTCCTTGCCGGTTGAAGGATCACTCATAAATTGAGGAAGGCAAAAGCTGTGCTGGAATTCTGGGCAAACTTACTCAGAAGAAAGCTATTCTGAACATAAAGAGTCATATCTATTAATTTGTACAAATCCACTCAATCACTTGTTTGTGTTTTGCTTTATATGTTTGTTTTTTCAGAACACTGATATAATTTTAAAAAACAGGGAAATTCAGCGATAAAGGATCTGCTTGGTTTAAGGCTAGAGTTAAGACTGTCTCTTGCTAGCAATAGATCCACGTAACCAGGAAGCTAGAAGCAAAGTCTGATGTTTAAACAGTTACTCCCTGTGATCAGTAATGGTGTTGTGCAATGTCTCAAATTGTGCTTGCGTTTGAGCAACAAACAGACTTGGTTCAACTCACAGGAAGATTGCTTTGGTGATCCTGTAAGGGTCAGATGCTTCATAAATCAGCACTGCTCTAGAACAATATGTGACATCTTTGGTGGCCCAAAGCATTCCAAAAAAATCCAGACAAAAGTGCAGGTTCATGAATAGTGACCTATAAGTGAGCATAATTAATAACATTGTAGTGACAATGTCACAATTTGTGACATTTGAGCATTACTGATCAGAAGGCAATTCTGTTAGTACATTAACTCTCGTTTTTTCTGGTTTTGTGAAGCTGGAACAAAAATGAGGTAGCCCTAACACTGGCCTTAAACCTGCAGTTTTGTTTTTTAAATTAAGTATATACATGCATGGATGTAGCTTGGAGTTGATCATACTCCATTACACATTTTCAGTGAATTACTTTTAGGACTGCGATGAGCCTTAAATCTTAGCATTATTTCATGTGGCAGGTTTGCTGTCAAGACCTTGTTTAGTTGTGTTTGTAGGGCAGGGGAATCTGTAGGAAGAGGTGTCATACATTGTAATACCTTACAAATTAGCATCGCTTTGCAATTATTCTCAAATGCCTCAGTCACACCATACGGTCCCAAATGATCAGCTTATTTTAGACTTGCTTGTATTGTTTTGCAGAGTTCAAAACAGATTGAAGTACTAATGACTCTTTATTAGAGATTCATCTAAAAGACTGATCTCTGCCATATTTATATTGGGTGCCACACAGTTCTTTAAATGGTATATGATCCACCAGCCCATGGTTTTCTGGATGCCTTAATCCCATAAGGGGGTGGAGCGGTGGGTGAGCAACTTGTGACCCTCCATTTGTTTTGGCTTGCAACTATTCTTCCCTTTGGCTAGACTTACTGTGAGTTTTGGTCACAACATCCAGACAGGCACAAGTTTCCAAACCTGGGTCTAGAACATGGTCTGTGCTTTGTTGCCTGGTATGCTTTTGTGATAGGTTAAAAAGTTTATGAACTTATAGAAACAAATTAATTGTGTAGTCTGAGGACTCTCCTCAGTGGTTTGTTCTTTATGGTTAGCAGTACAGCCGGCAGCCATCCTTTGAAGGTACATGTGCATAAAGAAGCATATAGAAAAAGATGTAATTTCAGTCTGGCAATATGCATGATTCTTATTAATGGTCTAGTCTGGTTACTGAAAATTTTATTGAGACAAATGTGGTTCAAGTCTTTCTTAGCAGCAGATATTGATTACCTGCATGAGAGGAAGTACAAGGACATGGAGGTTTTGAAAGGCTCAGAAGTGCATTTGCAGCACAACCGAACCTTGTAAAACACATGTGTGGAAGTGCTGACACTGTGGGCTTTCCCATTTTTCTTCCTGGAAGTCCACAGCAAAGGTGGATATCAGTCAGGTCTGCAGGCACTGTGTAGACCAGCTGCGCTTTCCAGTTCCACGGAGCATGGGAAAAGGGGATGTTACTGGCCTGATTACAGCTTGTATGTATAGAACACTCATTGCTGCATCATAATATTTTTGACTGGCAATAGTGTACGTGTTCAGCTAGATGATCAAGGAAGTTTCAACTGCCCCACTGGTGATCAAAGAGTTATGGAACTAAGTACTCCCTTATTGAATGGAACTGTAATTACAAAGGCAGATATTTAGACGTTTCCACCCAGTCTGCCTCCAAGCAGATCAGGACAAGAGGCTTCTAGGTACAGCCTTTACTGTGTTAAAACTGGCCAGCTAGGCTAGTTTTGTAATGCAAAAAGGAGCATTGCAGAAGTCATTAACAAATGGCACATGTGAAGTTAGAATATGAGCTATTGGGGCAATACAGCTTAATGCTAAGAAGTTGGTCCTAAAGTGGATCCCTCTCTCTTCTTCCCAAACAAAAAAAGTTAGTTCTACTCTCATGGTGTTTCTTGCTTCTTGTGGGATCAGACAGAGGGAACTTTGGACACTGTTGTATTGTTCTGCTCTTTTGATCTGAAAACAGACTATGGGACTGATCCCTTTATAGCTAGATCCTCTAATGCCCCTGTTCAGTGGTGTTACTCTTTGAACTAGATGTGTTCTGCTTCCTACCAGCCTTCTGATGTATATTTTCAAGGATTTTTGGTGTTGTGCCTTAATGTCAGAGCCAAGCCACAGACAGCCATCAAGTGGGAGTCAGGTGTAATAGACCAGAAATGGGAAGCCAAGAGTCAGAGTGGGGTATGTGTAGATTAAGCCACTAATGACCACCATTGCCCAGGCAAAGTCTCAACCCAAACATGAAGATTTTATAAGGAAAATTGATTACTAGCCCTGTTCTAAGGGCTATAATGTCATTGTTCCTGCATTCTCTGTCGTTGTCTGTAGATTAAGAAGGATCCTCTATACTCTGCTGTCTGTGATTGAAATTTGTCTTCAGTTAATCATAATTAATCATAGTTTCTTGTTACATCAAAAGTGGGAACATGTATGGAACAAAACCAAATCTGGAATCATAGTTTGATGATGATTTCAAATCCTGGTTTGTTCTAAATTTGATAACAACATCTTGCTACTTTGAACATAACAGCCATCTATTAAATTAATTCAGGAAATCTTGCATCATCCTTCAGTGGAGGGAAGGAGCATGAAAACACAAGGCTTTTACACTTGCTAGTTATTAAGGATGTTATTAAAATAAATATGGCCTTTTAGGGTTTGCTGGTATTTGACTGAAGTATAAATTAGATATATAGTGTTTTCCAAACCACTGGACATGAGCTGTGAGAAACAGCTAAGAAGTTAGAAAGTGCCAACACTGGGAGGCCAACACGCCTGCAACTTGGCAACATCCACTAGCAAATTAGTTAGGGCACTAATTAGCTTCTGAAGTTCAGGTCAGTCATAGAAGGTCACAGTCACACTGATGAGAAAAAGCAATTGGCTTGATGAGAATCCAAAACCAAATTCAGTGAAAACACGTATAGGACAAGTCCAAGTGAAGAGTGGTATGCAATACTCTAAGGTGATGGAGGTGCAAATTCTCTTAAGGCACAGGTAGAAAAAATAGCCCTGAGAAAGGAAAAAACCCACCAGACATTCTCTTAAAGACAAGTTAATGTGGAATAGATCCATGAATTTTTGTTGGCCTTTAGGTGAAACCAGTTGCCCGCAGTAGAATCAACGTGTCTGCACGATTTCGAAAGCCGCTTCAGGAGCCTTGCACCATTTTGTAAGTAGCATTTTCCAACAGGCAGTTTGACTAGCATGGTTTTGCAGAACCCGCAGCTGCTCATAACTTTCTGTCATCTTTTTAGCCTGTTTGCTAACGGCGACCTAGTCAGCCCAGCAGTGCGTCTTTTCATCCCAAGAAAGACACTAAATCAGTGGGATCATGTTCTTGAAATGGTTACTGAAAAGGTTACACTCAGAAGTGGAGCTGTACACAGGTAAGATAAAGTTGCACAGTGCAGGTAGCACCATGCTAGTTTGCAGTTTATTCCAAAGAAAGTGGGACCAAGAGGCTTTAGTGGCAAAAGCATCCCCATGTTGCACATGATCTACTTGACCTCCACCCCTTTTAGTATATGGTGGGATCTGTCAGCAAGGACATGAACTTTCCCTGTGTGCTTACTTGATGCTCAGCAGTGGCACCTGAAAGTGGTATTCTTTGCATACCACTTTGCTAGCTGATAAAATTTGGCATATAGTTCTCCACATAGGCAGACCTCAAAGTCCTTAAATGTTCTGGAGTTTTTTTGATGCAGCATTACAACTGGTGCTGTGTGTACTATATATGATTTGGTGGATAGAGTATTGTAAAATGAGCAGGCAGGGAAATCCTACATTAAGAAAGTTTCTGGTCTTTAGGCAGAGATCCTAACAGACTAGAGACCCATAATAGATCCATGGTGAAGGTTTGGAAGAGTAAAGAAGAGGTTGCACTCAGAAGGTGGCTATCACAGTCTGAACCCTCGCACAAGTCAAACATTTCTTTGCTATAACTGCCTATCTTCCATTTTGAAAAGAACTTTTAATTCAGTATGGACTCTGTCTTGTGAAGGTATTGATGGAATATTCCAAATTTGGGGATGTGCAATCTCTCTTGATCCCATTAGTGTTCCTATAGTACTGTGCATGATGAGTATCTATCACTGATCTGATATCCATTGTCCTCCTCATCATGCATTCAGGGGATGGGGAAGCACCTCACAAATTGCTAGATAAAGTACACACATGGCTTAAGGCTTCTCGGTAGAAAAAAATCAGAGAACACTGTAAGCAGAGGAGCCCATTCTTGAATGTCTAGATGGTCTTCTCCCTTCAGCTAAAAGAGTTTCTGCTCAAACTGTTTTGAATTAAGTCACACACATCCTCCAGCAATTTACTTGTGAATTCCTTTTGCTACAAGGACATCCTTTGCTCCCACCACCTGGAATGTGAAGTCAAATGGGCCTTAGGAAGTCTGAGCAACAACAAAGCTAGTGGAGGTGACAGTAGTCCAGCTGAGCTATTCAAAATCTTAAAAGTTGATGCAGTAAAAGTGCTACACTCAATATGCCAGCAAATTTGGAAAACTCAACAGTGGCCGCAGGATTGGAAAAGTTCAGTTTACATTCCCATCCCAAAGAAGGGCAATGCCAAAGAATGTTCAAACGACTGCACCATTGCACTCATTTCACATGCTAACAAAGTTACGCTCAAAATCGTACAAGCTAGGCTCCAGCAGTATGTGGACCGAGAACTATCAGAGGTAGAGGCAGGATTTCTAAGAGGGAGAGGAACTAGAGATCAAATTGCCAACATACGCTGGATCATGGAGAAAGCTAGGGAGTTCCAGAAAAACATCTGCTTCATTGACTATGCTAAAGCCTTTGATTGTGTGGATCACAACAAATTGTGGCAAGTTCTTAAAGAGACGGGAGTACCTGACCATCTTATATGTCTCTTGAGAAACCTATATGCGCATCAAGAACCAACAGTGAGAACTGGGTACGGAACCACTGATTGGTTCAAAATTGAGAAAGGAGTTCGGCAAGGCTGTATACTGTCGCCCTGCCTATTTAACTTATATGCAGAGCACATCATGAGAAAGGCAGGGCTAGATGAATCTCCAGTTGGAATTAAGATTGCTGGAAGAAATGTCAACAACCTCAGATATGCAGATGATACCACTGTCATGGCAGAAAGTGAAGAGGAACTAAAGAGCCTCTTGATGCGGGTGAAGGAGGAGAGTGCAAAAGTTGGCCTGAAACTCAACATTAAGAAAACTAAGATCATGGCATCCGGTCCTCTCACTTCCTGGCAAATAGATGGGGAAGAAATGGAGGTAGTGACAGATTTTATTTTCCTGGGCTCCAAGATCACCTCAGATGGGGACTGCAGCAAAGAAATTAAAAGACTCTTACTCCTGGAGAGGAAAGCTATGGCAAATCTAGACAACATACTAAAAAGCAGAGATATCACCCTGCCAACAAAAGTGCATAAAGTCAAGGCTATGGTTTTCCAGTTGCAATGTATGGCTGTGAAAGCTGGACCATAAGGAAGGCTGAGCGCCAAAGGATTGAGGCCTTTGAATTGTGGTGCTGGAGGAGACTCCTGTGAGTCCCTTGGACAGCAAGGCGATCAAACCAGTCAGTCCTAGAGGAGATCAAC